TAAATTGTTTTTTTTTTTTTTTGTTTGAGGGATACATATAGATAACTCTCTAATAAATAAGTTTTTCTATTTTTGCCTTTCCGTCTCCTGCTCCTACTTTCCCCAAAACACTTTTATATTGATTATTATTGCATTATATCAACTGATTTTACCAAGATTAAAACAAGAAGATCAGGATACGAAAACAGAACAGTTCATGAATTTGTATATGCAACATTTGTTGCAACAAATACATGTTGGAATTTCAAAATGGTATGAGATTGATGGCTTAACTAATTACTAACGATTTAAAGAAGTTTATTTAATACTTTACTATATTTTTACTTTTCTATTTCTCATCTTTGCATTCTTTCTATCGTACAAGAAATGAGCATGAAATAAACAACTGCTATCTTATTCTTTTATCCTACAGAACTTTTCTTCCATATGATTCTATCATCTTCATCCTATTTTTTTTTAACTTTTATTCTTACCATTGACTTTTTTACCACCTTATCATTTGTACTAATGTGTGCATTCCTATGTAATAATACATCTTTATATATATGTATATATCCCGAACTTTCCCTCTTTTTTTTTTCTATTTCTTTTAAAGATATAATTTTCAATATCTGACTAATCCTTTTGTTATTTCTAGAATTTGGAGTTTCTAACTGGTGATTATAATAGTGCCAAAGGCTCCGCTACTACCGATCAGCTCTCATTAGAACAGATTCAGGAAAATCTTACAAGACTTATGAAAGAAAATACTTCCTTTGACGAAATTTGCAGTTGGATAACTGTAAGTACATTTTCAAGATGGTACATATGCATTTTGCACAATTATACATCGACAATTTTTTATAACCAATTCATTGTTTCAGGCAAACGTTGGTAATAGAGATAAGGATCCCAAATTTATACGACATTTAATGACTGCCATTTTAGAAACTACATTAGGTACATATTTTACACTATATATGTTTCAAAATATTTATTATTATAATTATATTATTATAAAAATAATAATGAAAAAATATATATGATGATACATTTTGTGTTTAGAGTAAAGATATATATGAATTATCTTTGTGTTGTTTTTAGCCAAAAGGATACTGATGTAATTTTTAAAGACAATTGCTTTAAAAGTTTTTCGTAATGCTATTCTAAATTATGTTCTTATGTTTGTTTGCAGAACGACATCACGGTACGTGGAAACTAAATCTGGATACTTTTGCAAGTTTGCAAACTTTGATTCAACGATTCGTCGATGCGAACGAATTACTAGAATTGCAATGTCTTTATGCAATTCAAAGATATATTAAGAAAATCGAGTTTCCACCCGGTATGTATATGAAAATACGCGCATATATAATCAATATTAACATGAATTTGTGTCATAAAAAATTTATGTATATAAAATGTGCATACTATTATATGAATATATAGAAGCATACGTATGAAAAATGTGTGGAATTGATGAGTCTTGTTATTTTGATTACAGGCACTCTCGTCCCCATTATGAACAGATTATGGATGGACAATGTGATATCTAGTGACGCGTTTCTGACGTGGCATAAAAAGACTCCGGAAGGAGCAGATGTCGAAGGTCATAGCGTTTCAATTGTCGCACTTACGTCGTTTTTCACTGACTTGCAAGAACCCGACGATAATTCTAGTGTCGAAGAATTATCAACTAGTGCGAATCAGGACTGTTGACGATATTGTGATCGATTACATTATCGTCTATTAAAAAGACTCAAATACGCGTTTCCCCGTTGAAAGAAAAAATACAATGCTCGAAATTAAATTGCAGTTGTTTTTTTTCTTTTTCTTAATAAAACTATTAAAACGCAGAAACGCGTTTCCTAAATATTGAAAAAAAGAACAATATAATAAATAATAATGAAGTGACACACGTGAAAATGTATGTAATATAATCTATATAACTCTTTACAACTCTCTACCACCAACAACTAAAGAGGAGTGAGAGGACTCTGACAAAAACAAACAGCTGTATATGAGATAACCGCGAAATGAAGATAAAGTTTAACTATTAATTATTACAGAACTCTATATATGCAAAATAATTATTATATATAATTCAATAAAATGGTTCAAAGTTTAAATAAAGCAAAAAAATGGCTCGAAAAAATAATATTATCGTGTTTCTTATGTAAAATATCTCTGCAGCGACGTAGGTCGATCGCTCAATAGAACCGGAATACGCGTCTTTTTTCCATGCTTGGAATCGGGACTTTCAACATTACTTCCGATATATTAATCCGCTATATCACGGATCACACAACCGAAGTGCTTGTTACACGATTTAGATAACAAATTGCAAATCGGGATATGCAATCCAAGTAGGTCAATTTTAAATGGATTAAAATTTGCGAAGAGTAAGGGAAAAGCAACTACCGAGATAACCAAGTCTGATACTGACAGCGACATGGTTCTTCCTATTATTGTAATGGAGAATATGATATATATATATATATGTATATATATGCATATATAAAAAGTATATATACACATTTATATAACAAAATTTCTAATTTATATCTTTACAAGATATAAATTATAATAACTTATAATGTATCATAAGAAAGGACACTCTCGTGAAACACGATGAGATGGGATTGAGCGAAACTGAGGGATATATATTGCGGAATTAGAATCTGTAATCTAGAGAACACGTTTTGATGAAGTTATATAAAGAAAAAAAAACGAAAGATTACAAATGGTGTGCATATTAAGGTACTATTTTTTAACACTAGCTATTTATAATCGCAGAGAGTGAGAGAGAGAGGGAGAGCGGAGCGCCATTTGGATGTATCCACGTGGTAAATGCTGTAGCGAATTGTATAAAATTGTTATTAAACTGATTTGAGGTACAGCGTGTGAGCTCACCTTTGTTTTGAACGTGCTCGTAGATAGGAGAGACTGATTTTGCGTGCGTGCGTGTACAGCTATCGAAGAACATTACGTTTGTCCGGCATCTATCGTTGTTAAGTGCCGACCATACGATTTATCGTACCTGTAAAAGGTAACTTAAACATTCGGAAAATATTACGGACATTTTTAAGAGGATGAACGTATACTGGAGATATATTCTTGCGAAAATATATCGAGAGAGAAAGAGTGAGAGTGCGAGAACGAATCTTTGCTTCGGTCTCCCCCGAAATCATCTATCAGAATCTTCGATCGACCATTTTTCGAAATACGAAACGTACAGACGGATCGATACAGGCTTGATTGAAATTACTGGAACATACCTATATATATATTGTATGTAAATATATATTATTATTTAAGTATATTAACAGTCTGTAATGTTTCATAATTTCTCTGTCGTTTCAAATGTGCGAGTTACAGTGTTTCTCGTTATCTGTAACAATATATTTCCTCCGCTCCCTACGCGCACACATCCCTTCCCTTTGATTATAAAAACTCGTTTTTTTTTTCCTTTCGCGATAATTCCTTAAAACTCTTATTGCAGATCCACAGTTCTTTCAGGCTAAGTAAAGAATCCAGAATCTGCAGAAAGATATAAGATAGCTTGTACTGAGCAAAAGAGATTAGCGTTTTCTTCAATCTGATTTTCCTTTTCTTGTGATCGAAGGGATTGAAATATACAAAATGTATACGCGAGTATACATTTATTATAGAGCTGCTACATACAAAGAACATACAGAGAACGTGGAAAATAGTAAATGCAGCAAAGAAGAAAGAGGAAAGCGTAAGATTTTCGCGCGAGTGTACATGCGTGGTTCTTGTGAACCACAGATATATAAAAATAAAGTAATACTAATTTATATTTATAATAAAGGAAAACTGTTGAGGAGACAATGTGGATAATAAATAAAAGAGGTTTCGACGTGGATTACAAGAGGACGGAAGCTGCCTTCGCAATGTTTCGCATACAATTATATGTGATGACGCATTGCGTTGACGTTTCATCGCGTGCAAGCACGCACGTATACAGGGTGTTTCAGATAGATAGGGTACGATGCCGTATTCCTTGTTGAAAAATAAGTATCTTTTTACTTTAGTAACATTTTCGAAAATGCATAGTTTTCGAGAGATCTCATTTCTTTTTACTAATATCACAAGGAATATTGAGCCTATCTATATGGGACATTCTGTAATATTGTTACACATACGCACTCAAATTCTATTCATTTACTTTGACACATGTAAAGAGAGAAATTTACACATATACAGGATGTTCCACCAAAAGTGGCCATTCCCTTTTATTTTTTAAATTAAAAGAGATAAATCATAACAAATATATAACTGAACTCTATTGTGAGCATAGTAGGTGCTTATAAAAACTATATGTGTTAAGGAACCAAGAGGTATGCATAATTTTTTTATAACAATGTAGATATTTCGACACAATAAAAGTTGTAGCGTTGTTTAAAATGAATACAACGATGTATAATGTAATGTAAATATTTAACATATACGAATTTTATTGGCTTAAAATATTTATATTAAACTTAAAATATTTATATTACATCTTGTATTCGTTTCAAACAGCGCTACAATTTTTATTGTCGAAATATTTACATTGTTATAAAAAAATTATGCATATTTTTCCGTTTGTTAACACAAAAATAGCTTTTATAAGCAACTATTATGCTTACAATAGAGTTCAGTTATATATTTGTTACGATCTATCTCTTTTAATTTAAAAGATAAAAGGGATGGCCATTTTTGGTAGGACACCCTGTATACATAATATAAATAAAGATATCGTTGTACAAGTGTTCGAAACACGTCGTGATACATAAATATATACACGAACACATTTCTATAATACATAAATCATGTCATAAAAAGATAAAAAAAGGAAAAGAATTTCATGTTACATAAAAACTGTTATCAATCTTGTTTTCTCGAGCACGTCAATGAGATAAAAATATTTTGATTTATTCTTGCGCAGAGAGTTGTGTAGGCATATATCGAAATCTGTCGTAGAGTCTCGACCGCGCTTTTACATATTTGAAGAAAACTATAATACCAAAACATTCAAGAGGATTTGTTCTTACCAGTTTCTTAAAATATCTAATGCTGCTCGACGACAATCTCGATGGCCAGAGAATAATATTAAATTCGCCAAAAAAGATTATATAGATACGTGTCTATTGTAAGCCAGAGGATCTTCTGAAATGCGCCGATGTTGCAAAAGGACCCTCGTCGGCGAATCCCGCGATTTCTTGAGGGATTATCGCGTATTCCTCGACGCTGGTGCACGGTCTGCACATACATTCCAGCGGCGCTTTGGTAATCACCTGGTGAACAGACAGAGATATAACACGCATTTGACATTTCGCGTTCAAGCAAAATCAAATAAAATCGCGTTTCGCGATCTGATAGACCCTTGACGACAACTCTAAGAAACAGGGATCCTCTTCCCTCGAAAAAAAAGAAGGGAACTTCCCTGAACAATCAGAGAACTCCTCCGTTTCAAATCGGGCGCCCACGCTCGCGGTCCGCGTCCTGATCGCCGATTGGACAGCGCGGTCATAAGCGATACGAAAACAACATGGCCGCGGGAGACTCGCGGTTGTCGCGGAAGGCTTCGCTGCTGACTAGAGCGAACGGTCGGTGGAGAAGCGAGTGATCGTTCGTACGTTGATTCTACGTGATTCACCGGACGCCCCGGGCCGCGGATCGTCCGCGGCGAGCGCGAAAGATACGAGGGGGAATCTCACCTTCCGGAATTTCTTCTCCCCTGGTTTCGCCCTCGGACAGAACAGGGACACACTAGCCTCTCTCTCGCCGCTCTCCTGACAACACATGCAGCTTCTCTCCATTTGCCACATCTTCGATCCGGACACCTGTGCGTGTCAACAAACCCAACACGTATCGTACGCGTATATATTTATTACGCGCGTTCATTCTCCTCGCGTTTTATTCCGTTGCATTAAATGAGAGAGAGTAAAAAAGAGAGAAAGATAACGGGCTCTATCAAACGTCAAACGTGATATTCACGAGTTGGCAATGTTATATCGGTCGCAACAACTCATGTTTATAATATTAACGAAAAGTGCTTCTCACTTTTTTTGTGTACATATTTTGTAAATATACAAAACTTGTTTTCCATATCGTATTCGTTAAAATTTAAAACATACGTTTTTGTATAATTTATGAAAACAATTGTACAGGATAATATATTTTTGGCGTGTTTTGTGAGTGTAAATATCAGCTGAATTATTTTCAAGATTTATTTTTAAACGATATGGAACGGAACTAATTGTTACCGTAATTTATAAAACTGTCATTTGACTCATACTATACTTCTACAACATTATTTCACTAACTTGTATTTCTCTTACCTGCAGATAGCTGCTGCATCTTCCTCTGCACGCGTAACTAGGAATTGGCTTTGGGACACAACCTGGATATTGAAGAAAGTGTATCACACGGGTTGCCTGGCATTCGTCGACTCCAACAATTGCTTCTGCACTCCGGTACAACAAGCACATCAATAATCCATTGATCGCTGTGCGCAGTAAGTAGATATTTTATTATCGTGTATTACTTAGTTCACATAACATACAATCGTGAGAAAGAGATAAACTGAGAACATTAATTTGTGAGTATATTCTCAAAATGCTAGCTATTCACCAAAGTAACAGAAGAGTTTGCTTCTTGAGCGATACATTGCCTTCCCTTTCTAGCACTTTACTGTGCTTGTAAGTCTTAGGTCGTAAGCTTTTATACACCATAGGTGGCCATGTTTTCTCCCTTCCTTTGGCCATATTTTAGCAATGTCAGAAAGTCATCTATGTATGTACATATATAAGAAAAATACATGAGAAAATGCCTTCTAACATATTTCCTGAATTTATATATTTAACATTTGAACTCAATCTCTTTTTGCTATAATAATTAAATCTGACTTTATTTAGAAATTACGAAGTATACATTCATATATAATATATATATATATATATATATATAATAATCATATATTGTTTTATGCTGCAAATATGCTATATTTTAAGTTTTTTACACACATGCATAACAATACACACACAATATGATTTATTAGATATTTATTAAATATTTTAAAGATATTATTAAATGTTAAGGTTTACATGAAAATTATAGTACATATTGGCCTAGTTTATATTGATATACTTTGATACATACTAAATACTATACTATCCAATTACAGCCGTTCCATTCTTTAAAGGAATGACTATGATTAGTCAATATAGTACTTAGTACGTATTAAAGTATATCAGTGTAAACTAGGCCATTGTGCCAATATATAATTTTCAATTATATTATAAAATTATTTTGCAATACAATTATAAGAAAAATCATTTTTTGCAAACTACATTATTTCAATCATACATTGTTAACTTAAATGACTATATTATTTCTATTTATAGATGAGACCTACAGTATATAACAAATATTTGACCAGCATAAATTCATTTTTTTCATTTATGATAGAGTATGTTTGCATAATTTTATTTTTTACAATTTAAGAATTAAATTTTTATAGCAAGATATTATAGATATAATTTATTAACAGCTTACGATTTATAAACAATCAAATATAAAAAAAAAGTAGCATATCTTTTTCATTTTGTGTATTTTAGTTAGATTTTACTACAACAAAACTTTGATTTAGAATTACACGTAAGTTATCATGATATTTAAAATTTTGCGAATTGAAAATTTGATCTGCAATCAAATTCGGAAAAACCGAAAAATCTCATATAATAATTATATATAATTTAACAAAACTGATTCTTTCTTATAATGTGCATGCAAAGACTTGCGGATGAAAGAAATTTCTTGCCAAAAACTGAAACAATTTTCTCTGCATTGAAATCTAATCAAACTTTAACTTTTTCTACAATTTTACAAATTTTAACATTAAATATATTAAAGCCAGAATCTCAAGTTTTGAGATTTGAACAATGTTCATTTGTATTAATTCTTTAAAAGCTTGAAATCACTTAAAATTTGTCAATTTTTTGTGTATGAACATTTTTGTTAATGAGGAATTGTTTCTGTTTTTCATAAAAAATATTTTTATATAGCGAATATCCGATAAGAACAGGTAAACAACTTCCAAGTATGTGCGAAATAAATATATCAAATTTTTATTTAAATAAGTTATATTTGTCTGAAAGTATGCAATTACATACAAGAATAGGATATAAATACATATGTGGTGTGGATATTTATCAATACCCAAGCATACATTTAAAGAAAATTAATCTTTGGAATTTTATTGTCACATAGATAAAGATGCATATATGCGTATACAATAGTTACATAAATCTTCATATATTGAAATTATATAGATTCACATTGCAAATATGTTGAAAAAAAAATTTATTTATTTATAGAATTTATTTCTTTAATGTGATTACAATATCTTTATTTTTATCTTTTATCTGCCATTGTAATTGTTACATAATAGTTATAATTTGAATTTTCATAAAATGTATAGTTTTGAATCGTGATGCCACTTTTATCTCGCAAGGTCGCCGCACTTGATGCATTTACATTCGGCGGGTTCTCGTATCTTGATTTCCATCATTTCGTCGTCCATGCCTATCAATTTGATCCCATCCGCGTCGTAACATTGATTCAGGATGACAAATCTTTCTTTCAAATAACTCTCCCGGCAGCAGTAGCACTCCTGTATTTATAAAAAGATAATTATAATTTAAGGAACACGATATAGGCATTTTCTTTTGGGCGCGCAACGTTCCGTCAACTTACTTTTGAAAAGCCCGTAGTAGTGATAACACTTGGCTGTACTTGTGAATTACAGAATCCTTCGCATTTAGTAACCGATACATCACCGCTACATGTTCTTCTCAGACGTCCTATCTCATCGTATTCGTCCTTAGTAATGCGCACTTCGGACTGCAAAGTCTCGCAGCTCTCGTCGTCTATTTCAGTTATCTCGGCATCGTTGATTGTAGCATAAATCACGAGAATTAATAAGGATTTTGGGCTTACCAACATTATATAATATCGCTTTATTAATGCAAATTCAGTAAAGAGGCTCGCCGCAAAGGTCTCCGGGTGAAATGAGAAAGGAGAAAATCAAACAGATGCTTTTATAGGTAATTTCCCACTTCCTATTGTGTGTAAGAGGTAAAGATCGCGGACGGATCCCCCGCTGCCTTAATAGTATAGCTCGACCGAGAGATTCAAGGGGGTAACGACTCCCTTCTGCTCTTAGGGTTGGGCAATACTCGATTTTCTCTCGCTCGAGACATTATTTTTTCAATATTTTGCATCGTACGGTTAATGGCTTTTTTATGTCTCGTGTACACGATAAATTGACCACATTTAACGTAATTTACCTAAAATTCTTTCTTCTTAAAATATATTATCGTATTATTTAAAATTATTGATTAGATTATAAGGGATGTTTTCATTGATATTAACTTTTTTTAATACATATTGTAAAGATAGCTTTATTGCTAAAAATATATTCAATGATCGCTTCTTGTATTCCCCGGACAATTGTCTCTTAAATCGTCTTCGTCATTGAACTTTACTCCGCACCAAATGCAATAAAAGTATGTCTTTCTTAAATATTTAGTAAGAATATCAAGTTTTTCTAAATTACTGAGCGTTTCTTCGTCGCTATCATCAGAGTCGTCAGTGTCGTCAGTATCATTAGCTTCCTTTTCTTCTTTGCTTACTTGTGGCCAAAACCATGATTCTTGAGGTTTTATGACATCTGTTTTAGTATCCAAATCTTGACATACTTTTTGGCTCTTGCATAAATCAAACTTTTGTAGTTGTTCGGTTTTTTCTTGCGCTATTCTGCTACGAAAATCTCTCGTGTCCATATTATCTAATTTTGCATTCATACTCTTGCGATTATACAATTCTGTTTTTTTTAATATCTTGCCTAGACCATGTCTGTTCGTTCTAACTTCTACAGGAATTGGTTCAACTATTCCTGATTGAGTCTTGCCTATGCCTTGACCAGGCTTATATCCCATCTTCATAAGCATTCCGAAACCTGAAGGAATAAATATTTATTTATTACATATTAAAATAATCTTTTTATAAATATTCTTATATTGTATCAAGTGCATATTTGCCCTAATGTATAATATGTAATATACAATGCATATCCATATAATATATGCAAAGTAAAGACCTTTATTTGTACTAGTAATAGCAGACGATAAGCCTTCCTCCCTTTTTTCTGCTTCAACTACTCGTATCGATTTATTTTTCTCCTTCAGTCTCGATTCAATTTCGCTTTTCTTTTTCATTAGTGCAAATTCTCTTCTATCAGAGTGTCTATGTATAAGGCTCGATGAAACATGCTTTTCAGAACCTTGTAAAAATTTATCAGACATATAATCCTCGTCGTCTGACATTTTTACAAGTGGAATTAATATTTAGTAGAAAAACGCTATAGCACTTTGCGAAACACTGAAAATAAAATAATAGGTTTTTAGTAAGATAAGATTTGTAGTTCTATTTGTAGTGGAAATGTCTCGTGTACACGATAAATTGACCACATTTAACGTAATTTACCTAAAATTCTTTCTTAAACTATATTATCGTATTATTTAAAATTATTGATTAGATTAAGGGATGTTTTCATTGATATTAACTTTTTCTAATACATATTGTAAAGATAGCTTTATTGCTAAAAATATATTCAATGATCGCTTCTTGTATTCCCTGGACAATTGTCTCTTAAATCGTCTTCGTCATTGAACTTTACTCCGCACCAAATGCAATAAAAGTATGTCTTTCTTAAATATTTAGTAAGAATATCAAGTTTTTCTAAATTACTGAGCGTTTCTTCGTCGCTATCATCAGAGTCGTCAGTGTCGTCAGTATCATTAGCTTCCTTTTCTTCTTTGCTTACTTGTGGCCAAAACCATGATTCTTGAGGTTTTATGACATCTGTTTTAGTATCCAAATCTTGACATACTTTTTGGCTCTTGCATAAATCAAACTTTTGTAGTTGTTCGGTTTTTTCTTGCGCTATTCTGCTACGAAAATCTCTCGTGTCCATATTATCTAACTTTGCATTCATACTCTTGCGATTATACAATTCTGTTTTTTTTAATATCTTGCCTAGACCATGTCTGTTCGTTCTAACTTCTACAGGAATTGGTTCAACTATTCCTGATTGAGTCTTGCCTATGCCTTGACCAGGCTTATATCCCATCTTCATAAGCATTCCGAAACCTGAAGGAATAAATATTTATTTATTACATATTAAAATAATCTTTTTATAAATATTCTTATATTGTATCAAGTGCATATTTGCCCTAATGTATAATATGTAATATACAATGCATATCCATATAATATATGCAAAGTAAAGACCTTTATTTGTACTAGTAATAGCAGACGATAAGCCTTCCTCCCTTTTTTCTGCTTCAACTACTCGTATCGATTTATTTTTCTCCTTCAGTCTCGATTCAATTTCGCTTTTCTTTTTCATTAGTGCAAATTCTCTTCTATCAGAGTGTCTATGTATAAGGCTCGATGAAACATGCTTTTCAGAACCTTGTAAAAATTTATCAGACATATAATCCTCGTCGTCTGACATTTTTACAAGTGGAATTAATATTTAGTAGAAAAACGCTATAGCACTTTGCGAAACACTGAAAATAAAATAATAGGTTTTTAGTAAGATAAGATTTGTAGTTCTATTTGTAGTGGAATGTGAAAAATTATTTTAATTGTCAATATTTCAGAGTCTCTTAAAAAATTATTGATAGTATAATTATAGAAAAATAATCTTTCTTTTTTTCTATTAACAAAATATTTTGTAATGTGATATTGCAAAATATTATTTTGACTTTGTTAGGTTATATTTCAATTTGACAAACTGTAGTTCTTATTGGAAACGTTGATTCTTATAAATTTTCGGAAATGAGATCTAACAAGTAAAGAATTTGAGATTAATTTTTTTTATGAATTAAAATCTCATTACTTTTGTTATTAAAAATATCACTCTACTCCCTTACACAGTTTTCATACAATTTCTCTCGTTTTCTTCTTTTTTTTATAATTCACTTGACCTTCAAGTATTATTTATTGCTATGTATATATTTAGCTTGATATAAAATCATTATATCACTGAAAGAATGTCATACATTGTTAATATATTATGTATGTAGTGTAAATTCACTGTAATATTTTATCACTTATGAACACGACGAACATTATTATAGATATTCAATTTATACAAGCTTTTATGTCACGCGACTGTAAAGAGAGATTTTTATTAATTTTATAGATATAGAACGAGGTTTTTTTTTATTTCCTCGTTTTTTTTTTCCGAACTTTCGCGATCGCGGGTCATATACGTCCTACGCGAAGTAGGTAAGGTAGATATTCCGCGTCGCTCTCTCCGCCGCCCCCTTCCCCCCCCCCATCCCTTTCTTGATGGCGCTCCCGGAAACAGCGGAACGCGGAACTGGACGGCACCAGTGATCAGTGTCGCAGAGGAACGCGAACCGTTGTATTTTCACGGGGGCCATACGTGGTCCGTGCTCAATATTTTTCGTCCGATCGCCAAGATCCGGAGCGCCGTCGCCGAAACTCGCGATACGTCCCGGTCGTTCCTCGCGCGGCACGTCGTGTCACCGCCGCGCATCGGAACCGGGCTCGTCGCGAGCGAGCAGCTGGCGCGGATGAAGAAACGCCACGGGCGAGATTACGCGACAGCGTAACCACGTTCGACGTGTTCCGTCTCTTTTCGCGAGGCGAGAGACCGTCCCGCAAGTGCGTCTCGCGAGAGCCTCGGGCTCGATCCTATCCGGATAATCGACGACGCGTCCGAGGAGGCGGTTCCTCGGCGTCGGGGACGTGTTGGCGAGCCCCGAGACATTCGGACGGACGGATCTCTCCACGAGGAAATAAAGGTGGTGTCGCGGGTCGCGGGGGAGGTGACGGGCGGTTCAGAGTGAATCTTTATTGAATGTGATATCTTTATATCGAAGAAAACATGCCAAATACGATGTCGTCACGTCTCGTCGCATCCGGCGATGGATCTCGAAGGATCGTGTCGCAATTCCCTCGTGACCGAGTTTGAGGACCGCGCGCGCTCAGGTATTCCATACACGTGAAGTGAAGATTTGTATATTAAAGATATTATCTTCCGCAGTGGGAGTGTCATTACAATATCCTGGAGTAACTTTCACAGTTTTGTCGCTGTTGCTGCTGTGCTGCCGGACAACGATCCGTTGCGAAAAGACTCATCCTCGGACTCGCTCGAATATTATTTATCTCGGCGGCTATGGTTGTAGCCAGCAGCGGTGGTTGGGTACAAAATGCCAGTTCGCCCGCTGGGCAGAACAATTCCAACCTGAGCCAAAATAATACGCAGAACAACAACAAAATGACTGCCAAAGGTATTCTGATCTGTCGAGACAATTCCCATCCCTTTCAGGAGCGTACATTGACCTTGGAGCAACCTGTCAAGATCGGTCGTTCGGTAGCCAGGGCGAGAGCCGCACCGAATAACGCGATCTTCGATTGCAAAGTATTGTCCAGGAATCACGCATTGCTGTGGTATTCCTCTGGTAAATTTTATCTGCAAGACACATGCAGCAGCAATGGTACATTTGTCAATAATCAAAGACTCAGTGCCTCGGGGTTGGAGTCAACACCCAAGGAGGTATGTTCTGGGGACATAGTGCAATTTGGAGTAGACGTTGTGGAAAGTACAAAGAAAGTTACCCATGGATGTATAGTCGCTACCTTAAAATTATATCTGCCGGATGGAAAGGAGGCTAAGGCTAGTCTCAGCACCTCTGTTAGTTCACCCGCTGGGAATGTATCCCTCGAGGATCTTTATAAGCTTAATCAAGTAATGCAAGAAGCTTCGAGACGAGAGAAAGCTCTCTATTCTAAATTGGGCTATCTGCAACAGCTAGTGGAAAATACTCGTAAAGCTGCCAATCAATCGTGGAAAGCACTCATCACGGAAGACCGTCTGTTGTCGTGGGTAATGACCGTTGAGAGTCAATTGGCGGTTTATTCTAAGAACTATACCGAGGACAAGATCAGAAACGAATTAGCGAAACTTCAAGATGAGAAAGCGCAATATCAGAATGCAGCCAAGGAAGCTTTACAGAAGATACTGCAGGAGAAACTGGAGGTCACTCAGAGATTGGTGCAATTAGAGGGACGTCTGAACGAAACGGAGGAGGAGTGTCAAAGTTTACACAATGTAGCCAAATATACTCAAACGGAACTTCAGGAACTCAGCGCAAAATACGCGGATACTCAGAAGAAACTCCAAGAGACCACCAACAAACTCATAGAGAGCGAGGAAAAGATGAAGGATATGCTACTTATCGCGGAACAGGAAAAACGGGATCTCGCGAAACGGATTGAAGATCAGTCGAGAATCGAGAAGAATTTGCGGGCGAGATTGCGCGATTCCCGATTGGATTCTGTTAATATTTACAAGCAGATTACCGCCTTGAGAAATTATACGCAGACTCTGCAGGATATGAATTCAAAGCTCGAAGTGAGCGAGAATTTCGATTCGAAGACCGACGAAGATCCCATAGAGGCTATAAATACTATTCTCAATAAATTGAATTCCATTCACGTCGACAACATCGAGATAGACAGTGATATCAATCTTTACTTCTCCAAGAGCGAGCAAGATAATCAGATCAATTCGCCGGATGCGGATACGAAACAATTGAAATCCGCCAATTCCGACTTGTCCTTCACCAAAGATCAGCTGGACGATCTACAAACGACAATCGACGATAGCCTCAAGGAATACATCTTGCCACCGCCATCGTCCAGAAGAACTTTGGTCAACGGAAACTTGGCTAATCTGGATTCCAACGGCGACTCGGACACAAACTCGGAAGCGACCGACGACACGTGCAGTATTACGAACGATGACACTACGAGCGAAAAGTCTGTTATAGAGAATAACAAGGAGGAACTAGACACGATGGAAGCGGAATTGAAGCAGAGCAAGCTGGAGGTTCGATTCGCTAATATCGAGAACGATCAACAGTTTGAGGTGCATCACGAGCCAACGGAACAAATTGCCAAAGATGACAACGACATCGCGGAGATGGAGATGGGAGAAACAGCGGCCGAGGACGTACCGGACAACTCAACCGTTGACGATACGATAGACGACAGACGCGATGAGACGGCGGGGAACGAACCCGTCGCGCCGGGGGACGAGTGCGAGGAGCGCGTAGAAGGGGATTACATCAAGACCTTGAAAGCTGTCGTAAAGAACGACGCAGCGATGCAGCAGGCTTACTCCAGCAGGGACTATATGCTGCAAACGTTAATTGGCTCTTTAGACTCGTTAAGAAGCGAGGACAGCTACGAGGCGCAGCGGACGGTTAAGAGGGAGATGGAGGAGCTGAAGGACTGGCTGATCCGCGAGCCGAGCGAGATCGTCGTCGACAAATTGCGGGAGCTGTATTATCGCGCGAAGAACGACGCGCAGCGTATGCAGGAGGTCAACGAGGAGCTGGTTATAGTGAAGGAAAAATACAACGCGTTCGTCGAGGAGAAAGCGGAGCTGTCGAAAAAATACATGTCCCTCAAGGCGCAGTGCGGTGATTTGTTGAGCACGACTTACACCGTGCCGATACATTATGTGGCGCCTATCGCGATCATGCTCGTGTGGATGCTGTTGGAGAAAATATTCTAATCTCGCGTCTCTTCCTCTCCGCGCGTCCAATATTCTTCTCTCATAATTATGTATATACGATACGACATAAACGCGTTTCATCTTTCCTGCTCTCTTTTTCTGTTGTTTTTTTTTTTCTCGTAATATTGGACGCGACTGAAATTTCGCCGAGAGGGCAATCGGATTCAGCATAAGTATGCGTAAATTTTATTTTCGATGCAATTTAATGTTTTTTATACGAACAAACGCTAAGAATTGTACATTTATATATATATACATTGGACGCGTCGCCGAGAGGGCAATCGGATTCAGCATAAGTATGCGTAAATTTTATTTTCGATGCAATTTAATGTTTTTTATACGAACAATACGAACAAATTGTACATTTATATATATATATATA